TTTCATCCTCCACCCACCATCACTTTCTACTTCCTTATATTAGCCTTTCTTTCTTTCTTTCTTTCTTTCTTTCTTTCTTTCTTTCTTTCTTTCCACCCTATTTCATCATCCACCCTTTCCTACTTCTTTCATTTCTTTCTTTCCTTTCTTTCTTTCTTTCTTTCCACCATCATCACTTTCTACTTCCTTACCTTTTCCTTTCTTTTTCTTTCTTTCTTTCTTTCTATTTTCAGCCTTTCTTTTTCTTTCTTTCTTTCTTTCTTTCTTTCTTTCTTTCTTTCTTTCTTTTATTCATCCTCCACCCCTACCTTTCATCCTCCTCCACCATCACTTTCTACTTCCTTATATTAGCCTTTCTTTCTTTCTTTCTTTCTTTCTTTCTTTCTTTCTTTCTTTCTTTCTTTCATCATCTCCACCCCTACCTTTCATCTACTTCCTTATATTAGCCTCCCTCCACCTTTCCATCACTTTCTTTCCCTTTCTTTCTTTCTTTTTTCTTTCTTTCTTTTCTATTCATCCTTTCTTTCATCCTTTTTCTTTCCTTTCCTTTCTTTCTTTCTTTCTTTCTTTCTTTCTTTCTTTCTTTCTTTCTTTTATTTCATCACTCCACCCCTATCCTTTCATCCCTCCTTTTCTTTCTTTCTTTCACTTTCATTCTTTCTTTCTTTCTTTCTTCCTTTCATATTCCCTTTCTTTCTTTTTAGCCTTTCTTTCTTTCTTTCTTTCTTTCTTTCTTTCTTTCTTTCTTTACCATTCATCCTCCACCCTTTTCATCCTCCTCCACTATTTCATTCCCTTATATTAGCCTTTCTTTCCACTTTCTTTCTTTCTTTCTTTCTTTTTCTTTCTTTACTTTCTTTTTCATCCTCCACTCCACCATCACTTTCTACTTCCTTATATTAGCCTTTTCTTTCTTTCTTTCTTTCTTTCTTTCTTTCTTTCTTTCTTTCTTTCATTTACCATTCATCCTCCACCCTACCTTTCATCCTCCACCCACCACCACTTTCTACTTCCTTATATTAGCCTTTCTTTCTTTCTTTTCTTTTCTTTCTTTCTTTTCTTTCTTTTCTTTCTTTCTCCTTTTTCTGAACCTCTTTTTTTCTTTCTTTTTTCTTTCTTTACCATTTCATACTTCTTTCAACGAACAAGAAGGCAACCTTCAATAAAAAGAGGAAGAAGAAAAAACTGAACCCGCACAAAAATGTGGGAATTTTGCAGGATCAGAGCCCAATTATTTTTGACTGAAATATATTAAAATCATTGAGGCTCTACGTATAACCACCATTATAAAAAAAAAAAAAAGGAACACTGGAGAATAAAATAAATTGGCCAATCAAAAAAAAAAAAAAAAAAAAAACTGACACAAAGGGAGTTTTGATGTTAGCCTCCACCCTAAACCAATGTTTCTTTCTTTCTTTCTTTCTTTCTTTCTTTCTTTTCTTCCATGCGCCAGTGTCAGAGCATGGTCAAAAGGATATAAGCTGACATCTCTAAGAAGCAGAAAGGACAGCAAGAGCGACAACAAAAGATACTACCAGTGAAACCAGCCTTGAGTGACATGTGAAGAAGTACTTAAGAAGTCATCTGCTAATGATATTTTTGCCCTGCTTAGGGGAAAAAACATAGCCGATCTATTTACCTATTTTTATCTAAAGATTGATTGACTCTTTCAGCAATAATTATTAAGTAAAACCATATTGCTAATCTGAAAGAAGATCCTGCAAAGTGAGATGCTTAATAATTTCAGAGTAAATTAGATCGCCTAGTACTTTGCCAAAAAGAGGTAGATGGCTGTAGTGAGTCCTAGTCAAAATATTAAAATAAAAGATATCATCAAAAATAAAAAGAATCCAAATTAAAATAAGACATTCGCGTTTTCCTTTAAAACCCTAATCTCTTTTTTTTCTCTCTCTAAACCTTTTCCTTTAAAAACCTCTCTCTCTCTCTCTCTCTCTCTCTCTCTATATATATATATATATATATATATATATATATATATATATATATTTAAGGCATTAAAAAATAAATTTAAAAATATTTTCCTTCCTTCCCTGTCCATTCATTCATGTCACCCATGACAGACTTTTTCTTTTCCTCAAATTTAAATTCCCCGTTAACAGTTCTGACGAGAGGGACGAAACCGGTCGACTGTGTGTTTTTATTTTAAACTTATCATGCCCTACAATACAACATTTCTTGTTTTTAATGCCTTAATACGCTTTTTGTACCGTTTTCAAACCTATTTAAATATATATATATATATATATATATTTTCTTTGTCCTCTTATTAATGAGAGAAAAAAAACAAGAACCAAATCTATTCCATACCTGAGGATGTCTGTAAGAACAGACGAAAGCTTGTAAAAATAATAAGAACTCATGCAACAGAAATTTATAGAAACAAGGATCTTTTCATTCATAAACAGGTCGGGGATTTTGTATATTATTTGAATTGTTTGCGACGATGGATTTCTCGCCAATTTAAATCATTAACCTTTGTATTTGTTTTTGTATGAATAATTCATGAATATATATATATATATATATATATATATATATATATATATATATATATATATATATATATATTTAAAACAACCTAAGTTTACAGGAGTTGAGCTCATCTCGATACATTAACCTACGAAAAACAAAACCTAAGTTTACAGGAGTTGGGATGCCAAAAACTGACAAAACGAACAGAGAAGATTTGATGTCATCCAAATATCTCGAGCCCATTGAAATTTCCGGTATATAAAAACCTGGCACCTCTAAATTCCAGATCACTACTATGGGTCTAATTTCCAATAGAAATGGACATTTCTCCAGACCGCGATCAATATCCGCCGTATTAACGAACTTTTTACCAGAATAAAACAGCTGCCCGGCTAGCTGCTTTATTCTGGTACGCTTACATGCATTTTAGTCTACCAACTAATGCATCTACTTATGTTGGTCAACCTATGAACTATATCTACTTACATTGATATCATAGTCAGCCTCGGAACCTTTTAGCCGACCCTCGTAAATGCTTAGACAAGAAAGGAGATTATGCTGTAAATCATATAAAAATGAATGTAAAATAAGTGATTTCCTTTATCGTTAGGCTACGAACTTACTGATGTACATGTCTATATGGCTTCGTGAATTGATATAAGTTGTTCTTTACCTGGAAGCAGGATCGTCGATTAGCTGAATGTATGCTTTCACTATTTCCATTTCGATTTGCATGCACAAAGGATGAGATATTGCAGAGATCTAATTTCAATAGGAAAAAGAATAATAGTTAATTACATAATAATGCATTTGTGAATAAAATTGATATCTGTCCATAGGCTAACTCTCCCGGTTTTGTTTGGACTGTCCCGGTTTAATTAGTACTCTGTAGGTGACTATATATATATATAGATACACCTAGTTAGCCAGACAAACCTACCTAAAATTTCACCTAAACGGATCGTCAGCCAAACTTTCCCTGACGATCCGTTTAGTGAAAATTCCCTAAACAGGTTTGTCCTGGCTCACTAGGTGTATCTAGGTCTGTCTACAGTTGTATTGAGCTCTTTTGTTAGTTAGTTGTTACTCGTATCGGGGTTTTTTCTTTGGGCTTCAGACCTGCATTTGTGCGATTTTTTTTTGTCGGCAGAAGTCCATGTTTGTAGCTCTTTCTTTTTTTAATACCTTTTTTCCCTCGAGATTGATTTGATTAGCAAATCAAAAATTCGAGGGTCTTTCGAAACGAGTCTAGTTTTCTATATTTATATTTATATATATATATATATATATATATATATATATATGTGTGTGTGTGTGTGTGTGTGTGTAAATGGATAAACATCTTTATCGTCTGAATTGTTAATGTTTAAAAGTCAAATAAAAGGAGATGAACTTTAAACTAAATTTATAACTAATTATTATTAATTAATTTATAACTAATTATAACTAATTATAGATAATTAATCAGCAGCTGTAGTGTATTGCCTTACAATAATAAGGTTTGCATCTTTTTTTATATTCCATGATTTTGAAATGAAGGCATCAAGTTTCTTTCTTTCAAAAGTAAATTTAGTTTATATACATTTTAATTAGTACTCTGTAGATAATTATTTTTACCAACAAAAATGTTAGTCCTGCCAATACAAGTTGCATTTGAATTTCTTGGTTGTGTAGTCATATCCTTCTATGGCAACACCTAAGAGAGAATGTTGACTCAAATTGAGAGTAAGGCTAATGCAATTTCAGATATATAGAACTAATATATAAAACACTATATTTTGAGGGGATTCCATATACAATGAAAGGGGAAGTAATATTTATAAATGATGCAGAGTGCTAAATGTTAAGAATAACAGTAATAATAGTTGTATGTGTGTGAGTGCGTCTGTGTGATAGAGAGAGAGAAAAGTGAGACTTGATGTTGAGAGGATGTTGAATTATGAAAAAGCTTTATTAGACAAGAAAGTTAAAACTATAATGTCTCAATATGACGTCTATAATTTATGATCAGAACTATCTTTTTTCTTACTGCAAGGCAACAAAGTCACTAAGATGGAGCGAGTTACTGAATGAGAAAGAATAGGAGAAAAAAAGAAGCATTATTAAGGATTTTGAACAATAAATGACTAGAAAGTTTGAAAATCAAACGTGACTGAAAAGCAAGAAACTGGAAGAAAGTTCCACAAGTGAAAAGTGCGAGAAAAAACACTATTAGAATAGGTACACAGGACAGAGTTTGTTGATTCATCAAGCGGACACAAGGCCTCACAAACAGAACATGGGTGAACGACTTCGTATGTGATGTAAAGTAAATTTATGACTGAAATTGTTAAATACTTGATGGCCAAACATAGCATCATTGTAAAAGAAAAAACGCACCGACGCCAGGTGTCGAAATTCGAGCTCAGGCAAAGATGGCGAATGTTAATTTTCCTGGCAGGCAAGAACCACTCAACTATATAACACTGTCCTAAATTTACAAAAGAACAGTCAATATTAAAATGAAATTAGTGTAGCATGCATAGATAGATAGATAGATAGATAGATATATAGATAGATAGAGAGAGAGAGAGAGAGATAATGGTGTAATGACTGAGATAGTTATGAAATGAAATGATTGAGATACAGAGATAAACAGATAAATAGAAATAAAATGACTGAGATAGACAGATAGATAGATAGATAGATAGATATGAAATGATTGAGACAGAAATAAAATAATTGCGATAGATAGATAGATAGATAGATAGATAGATAGATAGATAGATAGATAGATATGAAATGACTGAGCAGAAATGAAATAATTGCGATAGATAGATAGATAGATAGATATGAAATGACTGAGACAGAAATGAAACGATTGCGATAGATAGATAGATAGATAGATAGATAGATAGATATGAAATGGCTGAATGAAACTAATTGCGATACAGATAATAGATAATAATTAGATAGATAGATAGATATGAAATGATGAGACAGAAATAAATAATTGATAGATAGATAGATAGATAGATAGATAGATAGATATTAACTGTCTGAGACAGAGAGAATATGAAATAAAAGGATTTAGACAGACAGACAGACAGACAGATACTTTAACAATGCTTACCGGTTTTTATTGATCCTGTGGGCGTATTCATTGATGGCTTACTACTGTTTCGCAATATCTGATAGGGTGGACTGGTAAATCTACGAAATTTCGATTCTTTCGGCATCGTATCTGTTGACTGGAAAACGATTTCTTTGCGCCTTCCCGATCAATAAAAGAAAAATTTCAACATTGGTTGAAAGGTTTTATTTTTTAATATATTTTTAATTATTTCAAACATGCATTCTGAGAAAATATTTATTTTCATAACGAACAGGATTCAAGATGTTAAAGTTTTTTGGGTTTTTTTTTCAATATATTCTATTGTACTATAACAATTATTAGGTTGGTGCAAAAATAATGACGTAATAATGTCGTTTTTTGACGTTAAAAAATACGTCAAAAAAACGACATTATTACGTTATTATTTTTGCACCAACCTAATAATTGTAGCCATTTGTATTGACATAGGCTGGCAAGTACAATATTGTATTGATATAGGCTTGTAAGTGTAATAGTTAGAGACTTCTTCTTTCGTAATTGTTTTAATCATTTCAATCCAAGCAAGGCAACAATGCCACTTGGACGCAAAGATTTTTCGTTCTTTTCTACGTGTTGTGTTCTTTCAAGACGTAGACGATCATGGCTCTCCACTTCTCCCTATCCCTTGCAGCTCTCAACAATTTCCTTCCCTTTGCCACCTCCCCCAGCCCACGTTCTGTCATCCACTTGCTAAAGACCGCTAGGTATGTCGTGTGTTGTTTTCCCTTGTCTCTCTTTCCCTCTATTCGACCCGTGAGTATCAGATTCTCCAAGCCCTCCTTCCTCATTATGTGTCCCAGAAACTTAAGCTGTCTCTTCCTGATGTTTGTATAAGCCTCCTCCTTGTTTGCAACCTCTCTAAGATCTCATCGTTGCTCACACGCTCGGTCCATGATATCCTTAGCATCCTTCTGTAGAACCACATTTCTATCACCTCGAGTCTCATCTTCATCTTTGAAGAAATCGTCCAACATTCGCTGCCATAAAGAAGGACAGATGTCATGTAACAGTTCAGTATTCTTTTCTCTGTTACCAAAGAAATCCTCCTGTCTCGCAGTACTTTTGTCCAGCTTTTGGAATGCGTCTTTGGCCATTCCAATACCTCTAGGGATCTCAGTGTCGAACTTACCGTAATGAAGAACAGATATCACATAACAGTTCAGTATTCTTTTCTTTGTTTCCAAAGAAATCCTACTGTCTCGCAGTAATTTGCCCAGCTTCTGGAATCCATACTTGGCCATTCCAATACGTCTAGGGATCTCAGTGTCGCACTTACCGTAAAGAAGAACAGATGTCACATAATAGTTCAATATTCTTTTCTTTGTTTCCAAAGAAATCCTCCTGTCTCGTAATAATCTGCCCAACTTTTGGAATGTATCCTTGGCCATCCCAAGATGTCTACTGATCACAGTGTTGCACTGACCGATCTCTGTCAAGATGCTTCCCAGAGATAAGAAGTCAATTTGCTTAACTTCTACTAAAGAGGTTTTAAATATGTGATAATATACTTTCAGTCTACTCGACTCACACACAAACAATTATGCTTCTTTCCGTCCGCTCTTGTTAACAATGAAATCTAGAGTTACTGTTTTTAATCTTCTTTATTTCTATGTGCCGTGTCCTTTCATGACGTAGGCGATCATAGCTCTTCATCACCCACACCAGTTCTATCATCTGCTAGGTATGTCATGCTTTTTTCCCTTGTCTCTCTTTCCCCATAATCGACCCGTAAGTATCATGTTCTCCAGCAATTCAGTCCACATTATGTGTCCCAGAAACAACAGCTGTCTCATTCTGATATTTCCGCAAGGAAAGTTGGCTCCCTGTGCCGCGCCAGGAAATTTTTCTCCCCGGAATCGATCCTCCAGATCTACAAATCAACAATTCGCCCTTGCATGGAGTATTGCTGCCATATATGGTCTGGTGCCTCTTCTGTTTGCCTCGGGGTTCTTGACAAGATCCAGAGGCGGATATGCAATATAATTGGCCCTGTTCTGGCATCTCGTCTACAGTCGCTCTCTCACAGACGCGCCGTCGCCTCTCTCTGTCTGTTTTACAAATACTTTCATGGCAATTGCTCCGAGGAGCTGCATTCGCTGGTTCCCAGACTTCATGAGTTCAAGCGCCCTACGAGGCTGGCATCCCGCTCTCACCCCTTCACTGTCGAAACTCCTAAATGTAGCCGTCTCTTCTACTCCAATAGCTTCATGTCTCACACCTCTCGCCTGTGGAACTCCCTTCCCTATTCCAGTTTCCCTGAGAGCTATAATCTCCAGTTATTCAAGTGTAATGTCAATCGACATCTCCAGTTGCCTTGATCTACCCACTACCCTTCTCCTCATCCTTTCTTCTATCACTCCTATCTGATCTTGCTCCAAATTTTCTGTAACCCCTTCCGTCCTAGTGGCTTCCCGCCTTGCTTGGGGTGAAACGCTTAAAAAAAAGCCACCCCCTAGTTTGCATCCTCTCTAAGACTTCACCGTCGGTCACACGCTCGGTCCATGATTTTGTGACGTCCCCCGGTGTCGCTGCGCCAAATGTGACGTTTATCTGGCCGCGTCCGCCGTGCTGTCCTGGTCGCAGCGCCAGTTGTGACGTCACCCCGTCTGTCTCCGCGCCGTCGCCGTCCTATCCTGTCTTGTGACGACCAATGTGACTTGGTATTGGTCGCGGCACCAAATGTGACGTTCTAACCTTTTGCTGATTCGGATGGGAATCTGGTTAGATTCGGCATCAGCCTTGTCGTTCCCCGCTCGCCTCCAACGTCTGGTTACCGAAGTAAGTGTTTTGATCTCGAGTCTAACCTACCCACGTTGTGATTTGATCTTAGGTAGACGAAATCAATCAGTCGCCGGGCCATAATGCAGTTGAGTCCGAACAAGGGTAATACCGCACAAGTATATGTAAAAGAAAATAAAGTAATAACTCAAAAATTTCAAATGTGTTAAAAAAAAGGATAGCAATATTTTATATCTGGTTTCTGAATACAGGACTGCGTCTTTCTCCCAAACCGCTAAATGGATTCGTGACACTTTGTGTTTGTTAGGCGAGTCTTAACATCTTAAGTTGTTTTTTCAAGAAACTGGTTTTTGGTGTATCTTCAGGCGATATTCGTAAAACTTGTTTTGGTGGTGTGAGTCTAAGTCGTTCTTCAAAAATAAATTGTTCTTGGTTAGAAGTTGAGGTCGAGAATGCGTGAATCTTTCAGTCAGGTTCCTGCGAGGCGGGTCTTCAGAGCTCTCAGCTCAACTGCAAACTGCAACTCCAACTCAACTCAACTCAGCTGCGAACTGTGAACTGCCGTCTTACGCGTTGCGACTCTGCTTATATGGACGCCGACCAAAACCGGGGTGGGCCTGTCGGTGTCTAAGGTTCCTTGATAATTCTAAATTCGCATTAAGGGTTTTCTTTGTTTTTGGTCAGGAAGATTTATTAATTTCCATTTTTGGAAGTCTTTACTTTCTAGGGTAGGGAGTCGTCCTCCCCCATTCTTCTTTTCTCATATGGGTATCTCATACCGATTCCTTTAGAGTCGTCAGCGGGTTTCCCCTCTCTCTCACAGTGGCATCTCATACCGATCCCTTCAGGGGGCGTCAACAGGCCTCCCCCTCCTTCTTCACATGATTACCTTCGCCTACCACTCAAGCCAACATTCAGCCAATGAACGCCCAGCAGTGTTGGTGTGGCTAGACTAGCCTCGGTTTAAAAAATCTTGCTCAAAGAAAAAAAAAAATATCTTCCTCTTTTTCTTTTTCTTTTCTTTCTTTTCTTCTGCCCGGCAACAAACCAATACGACCCGTAGTATGTTCCTTTAATCTCAATCTTATCCGAATCCCATCTGGAGTTCATCAATCGAGACTTTTCGCCAGCGTCAAGTGGGTGGTTTAACTGGACGTATTTGCACCCTGTCGCTAATTATCTCTTCCGATACAAATTTTATCATGTCCAGGTTTGACATAAAACAGGTGCTCTTTCTCAAATGATATTTCCGCGGATAGCCAAAGCCTTAATCTTTCCTTCCTTTTATTCTGCGGGAGGTCCAGCGGACATTTTTCTCGCGACCCAATTAATTTTTATCTCTTAGAATTCTGCCCTGTAGGCCACCTGACCGACCTAAAATTTTCACCATTGCCATGGGCAGGCTACCACCTTCCACTCGGTGCGCCGTCATAAATCAAACGCGACAGATCCCCGACCTTACTTTCTTCGCTAATGAAAATAAAATCTTTACCACTTTTCCTTGTTAGAAAAAAATAACATTGTCTTTTCGTGATAGATTCTTATCACCTAATTTATTTCTCGCCTTTTTTTAATTTTTTTTCACGCAACCCTAAATAGTGTCACAATATCCTCAGCATCCTTCTGTAGAACCACATCTCCGTCGCCTCGAGTCTCTTCTTCATCTTTGAGGAAATCGTCCAACATTTGAGAATACGTTGGACACTATTGTAAATGGGGGTAATATACTGTTAAAGTAGTCCACCACTAGCAGTGGTTTACCTACTTCACGTCGCTGGCGAGTTTTGTATTTTGTTGATGTTATAAAGATTACCATTTCATTTCCAACCTCCGTTTTGGTTATTCCTCATTCAGTAACCTTTTCTAGGTTACAACCATATATCTAGGCACTGTTTGTCCCTTTATTAACCTTTCCAGTCATCACACCTTCGGATTTTTCAAATGCAGAATTATCATCATTAGAAACAGTTAACTAGTATTTCTTTAATCATATTTCTCTGGTCTTTAATCATAAATCCCAGGTCGTTATTCTACAACCGTTGCAAAATCTGTGTGGATCGGAAGTGAAGCATTTTCCGGTTGAATATGAATTCCAATCACATATTTGACAATATTGTTAATGAGTTAGAGATAATGTAATGAGTAATGTCTGTGGGGCACGGTGGGGTAATGGATAGCGGCTCGGAATCGGAGAGCCGAGTTCGAATTCCAGTCGAATCCATTACATTCACTTACATGGTAATACAAGTATGAATCTTCTTCTTCCCCCTCCCCACCTATGGGTAAATAGCAGGACAGACCGTTTTCTATAGCCTTGGATGGCAGCTGGTCTACTGCAACCTACTGCGGGAAAAATCTGCCACGTCAGTCATGTTTTGAAAAATATATGATCGCCTAAGCGTGTATGGCGCAGAACCGAATAATATGTCTGAGAAAGCGGCAAACCTATTAAAAGCTCAGTAGAAAGTTTGAAAAACATTATAATAAAAATCGTTGACACGAAACCACGTTTTTTTTGGGTTTTTTTTTTTTACTTAGGTAATATCAATAATACACCAATGAAACTAAGCACAGAATGCGGGAATTTAACGCATTTTAAGGCCAGATGAATTGTTACTAAAAAGCCCTCCGACCGATTGATTGATTCGATTTTTACGGTTGATCAATATTTTGCAGTATTTTAAAGGCAGAAGATATTTTTATATTATAAGGTATGGACCTAATAATGGTTTATTGATACAAGTCTTACTAATTAACCTATAGTTGGGGGGAGAGAACAGGTGCATTCATGTATTTGCCAAGGGTATTTATGCGTAAGTGAACATTATGAATCCAACGAGAATTGGAACTCGGTTCTCTGATTAACAATTCCGAGTCATTATCAATTACACCACCCGCACATCCAAGTTTGCTAGATACTGACCAAGCTCCACGTTGCTTTAGTTTGGCGATTGTATGGAAAACGATGTTTCATCGTGACGTCACCGTAATTCCTCATCATATGTATAACGAGAGAGACAATATTTATTGGACCATCTGACGCTGATGAAACTCGGTCAATGAGTTAAGTCCATTGAACATTTATTATTACTAACACACACACACACACACACACACACACACACATATATATATATATATATATATTGTTGAAACTTGACTAATGCATGGAATAATAATGCAACACAAAATCTACTTAGAACAAAATGTATTGAAACAAGAAAGTGTACACAATATTTACATATAGTCTTTTGTATATTCCTGGTAAGACCGTTCCTGGAGAATGTGTTGACTGAGTCGCAGTCGGGCAGAGTCTCTGATTGAATCTCTTGATTCCTCCCTTCTCTTCCCGGTACCAACCATGCAAATTAGGTGGATCCTACCACAACACACACACGCACACACACACACACACACACATATATATATATATATATATATTGGTTTTTGGAAAGTTAAACAGTTAAAAAAGTTCAGTCAGTTTGGCGTGGACTTTCTTGAAAGAGAGTGGCAGTCATAAAATTGTCACTGCCTAAACTTTTGATATTCTGAAGGCGGAGAAATTTATTTATAACTAGCTTAAAAGACACCCTATCGGGCGACATTTAAGCGAGTTCCTGCGGAGTGGTCTTGATTAGGCCTTCAGCTTCTTCAGGAATTTCAGTGTCCCTAAGTCTGCATATTCACAGCATTGGAAGCTCCCCTGGCTACCGTTTGATCTGTGTTCTCATTTACACGGGACTTTCTTTTGCTCGCTGCAGCCTTGGCTCTTTTGATTGCAATCTGGTCCTCTGTTGGCGGAGATTTCTTTTTGCGAGGCATACTCCAGTCGTATGTGATAGGCAACAATAAATTAAAGAAGAACTTAAAATTGATCGCTGCATTTAAGTATTGCATTATTATTTAAGCCTACCTTTCAAAAAGCTCAACGATAATTCATTTGTCGCCACAAATTGATGCACGAAGGTCTTTAATTTCCGTAAAAACAGTTATTTTTATTTCAAGGGTGACTTTCGCTGGATTTTGTAAATAATTTTAATTTTTCCAAAATTATTTCCAAGTTATAAAAATTGTTACTGTACAAAGAAAAAATCGTCGCAAAAAATCACGTAAAAAAACCGCCGGCAATAAATGCATTAATAAAAACTTGGGAATCCAAATTATCTGTAACATGAGCTATTGAAAGTTAGAGAATTGTGTCCCTTTAATTTAAAAAAAAAAGTGTGACACACCGATACACTGACATTCGCATTTATTATGTAAATGACTGGCATCAGGTGTTCATGTAGCTGAAATATAACGTCTTTTTCAGCAAATATGTCTGTATAGGAGGTATGTCTCTTTACAATTAGTAGATATAAATAAACGCAATATATCTTATCATTTTATATTTTAATCGATTTTTTAAAGAATCGATTTCACCCCAAGCCGAGCAGTAAAGACACTGAGGCACAGGAGGATACTGGGTGTGGAAAAGTTAGAAACATTGCAAAGGAGCAAGAACAAATGAAGAGTAACCAGTAGATAGCGATTGATATTGCATTTAAATTTTTACAGCCTAAAGTTGACTGGAAATCATGTAGCTGAAAGGGAGTTCTACGGGCAATAAGTATGAGAAAAGAAACTGTTAGCATAGAATTTATGGTTACATTTAGCCAACACAATTGTAAATTGATGGTACCCTGTTGCCAGTCTAGCACTGCGAAAAAAGAGTTTAGACATCATAGCGTCGAGTTTATTTGAACAATTACCATGAAAGTATGCATAGAAATGGCAGAAGGAGACAAATTTATGGCGGCGGGAAAGGGGCGGAGACGCCAGAAAAGAGCCAACAACACTGTTGATTCTTCTTTGGATTTTATCAAGGATCTTTAGGTAAATAGTAGGAACACCGTAGCAAATGTGGCAGCAATATTCTAAGCATGGACGAATGGTAGACTTATCGATATGTATCCCAGATTCTGGAAAGAAAAATTGTGTAGCATGACACAGTGAACTAAATTTCTTAGCAGCTAATGTAGCAATGAAGTCAATATAGTCTTTCCACTTTTCGTTAGCCGAGAACATTAAGTCGAGAAAGCAAAACGAGTCACACTCCTGGAGGTCAGCATTAGCCATGTTGATGGAGGGCAGAAAGATGTCCCTATGATGATTAACAGAGGTCAGTTCAGTTTTGGAGGCGTTTAATTTAGCCAGACATCATTTGTCTCAGTCAACAAGAGACTGAAGGTCGTTTTGGATATCAGCTGCCATTTTGACCTTATCAAACTGATCACACTTACTATCGAGACAGGAATAAATGGTTGTGTCTTCAACATAGATACCAAGTTGAGTGCTGATACCATCGGGAAAGTTATTAATGGAAAGTAGGACCAAGGACGGATCCCTGGGGGCGGGGGGACATCTACATTCGGATGGAAGGAACTGGAAGAGTGGCTGTTCAGGATTACTTTCAATTCACGATTTTATTGGAAAGATTGGATCATTTCAAAAACATGTCCGAAGACACCGTAACTTTTGAACTTGTGAAGAAGACTTGTATACCAAACCTTGTCGAAAACTTACGAGATAAAAAAATATGAAAAAAAAAAATTCCAAATAACATCAAATCAAATAAATAATCTTACCTTTGCCCTCTGATTCTGAAAAAAAAATTACCTTGATTTCAAGTGCATTTATATATAAATGCAAATGCCTGTATATATATAGATAGATAGATAGATAGATAGATAGATATGTACGCATGTACAAAACTTGCATTAAATCCACTGAAATTTCGAGGACTGAACATAATGCATTTGTGATGTCATCATTTGTTAATAATAATTTATTGTAACGTCAGAAAATATCATATTTAGTTGGTTTATATCGGGACTCTCTTAGGAAAAACAATTTTAAAATAATTCATGTAATTTGATACATTTAGTTAGCGATGAGTGATTAACAAACGTGATTTAAGATGACATTCCTTCTACCGAGTCGGTAATGCTCGTTACTAAGAACGTTATGAGCAAAACACAATTAATATATTCCCACAAAATTCACCATAAATAAAGTCCCCCAAAATAATCCTATTATAATTCTGCTACTCACCCACCCCTGCCGCCAACATCGTTGGTTCGCACGACAGTTACGCCCCATCAATAGCTCATAAATAATGGACTATTCTGTTTTGAATGCGCGGAAAGACAAAAGACACGTCTGAGACGTTACTTGGTTTCAGTAAAAAAAAAAAAAAAGTAAGAAAGAAAGATAGAAGCGTTTAACGTTTTCTGCTGATACCTGATAAGTAATGGACAATTCCATTTTGATCGCGGGAGAAGACAAAAGACGCTAATCGGTTTCAGAGAGAAAATAAAATAAAGAAGGGAAGATAGAAATGTTTAACATTTGTTTTAGTGAAATGGAAATAAGTTATCAATTTCAAATCTTTTCATTTGTACACACTCCTTTAGATGACGACCGGCATTCGTTATCATTAAAGTTGTCAAGTGCAAGTATTTAGCAATGCGATAGGCGAATTTTTACGGATATTTTATTGTTTTAAAACTTACTATTAGATTATTAATCATTAACTGAAGAATTATGATTCATCAGACATTTCAAATAGGAAAATCTGCGAAATTTTCACTGGCTAAAACTAGTTAAACTCAATAATTATAAATTTATATACTTAATATATTCGTCGATATTTTAAAAGGCTCAAGCTGCGCCTATTAGCCCTTATATAACACTTACGTATATATATATATATATATATATATATATATATATATATATATGTGTGTGTGTGTGTGTGCGTGTGTGTGTGTGTAAAATGTGCATGCATATTTATATATATATTATTTATATATTATATATGCGCGGTACTTATTGGAAAGCCCTCAATATCAGTGCTAGAGCTAACATCACATCAATCCAACTAAATATATATATGTGTGTGTATCTGTGTCTAATGTGTTTCTTATACTAGTTTCAAATGTTATGTTTTAGTTTACTCAATTAGTTTTACAGGAATCAAAACGATGCAATTCAGTGACAATAAACCCGACATCAAATCTCTAAGATTGGATTGGAACGTATTTTTCCGTTTTTAAGACGCATCATTATGTGGCCGAGTAGTTAAAACGTTCGCATTCTGAGCATGAGACCCGGGTTCGAATCTCACCGTAGTCGATTTGTCAGGAAAGTGATGCTATCGTTCTGGGGCTTGCCGCGCCTTTGGAAAGTGTCTGAAAAACACAAAATTGAGTGAGTGAAATTGGTGAGACGTCGGTGGTTGTGCTAGCTAGCACGACGTCACAAGTCAGCGTGATCGAGGATTTGAGAATGCTGATCACGCTGTATAACGCGTTATCTCCCAGAAACTGTAACTAAGTTCCGCTCAGCATGATTTACAGTATATAAGGTGGGCTCTGTGGGTATCGAACGAAAACAAATGTGCCTGATCAGGCGTCTGCAATGGGATTAGCGAGCTACTCTTGTAGACTGGCATCCTCGGATTCAAGTGGCTGCGCCATTTACTTTTATGACGTACCATTAATATCACTCGCACTTCTATTTTCGGAATAATTATAAACTAGATTACAATCACTGACATTCTATGTACATTTCAGGTAGAATATAAACACTGAAACATGTAATGGTTGAGTGACTGCACAACTCCATAGACATTTCAGGTAGAATACAAGGACTGATGGATATAATGGCTAACATACTGAACAACCCTACGGACATTTTTTGCGCAACGTATGTGATATCTACTGTTGAAGGTATTTGGCATATAAGAAGCAAGGGAAGTTTTTACCTACATTTCTTTCACGCACTTGCTCTCCTCTAATAAGGATTCGGAGTCGCTTTTGAGTTCTATCCAGACTTGAGAGTGGGGAGCGGGCAGCTACCGGCAAAACATGACAACAGTAATCCATTTTCGGCCTGATCTGGATCAAATAGAGGAAGGATGAGGAGTTAGGTACTTATGGAGTGTCACAAAGAACCGATCATTTTAGCAGCATCTTTAGTGATAGATCGTATATAATGGTACCACTTGATGTTGTATGTGAGTTTGAGACCCATTATTGTCTCAAAGCACAGTACCTCCTCAAAGGGACATCCGTTTATCGTGACTGGCGATAGTTCGAGGACTGATACAACGCATATATATGCCAGAATGTATCGATTTCTGTAGTTAAGTAAAATACACCTGGGCTCTAAATATAGGTACCGGTGTAACAGCTCAGATTATGCCCAAAGCTAAGCTGGGGTTATTCTAATCTAATTGTATAGTTAATCTAGACTAGTTCATATCACCCGGTTTTAAATGATCTGGGCTAGCGTATACCCTTCTAGTTTAGCGTCTACCCACATTTTCGCATGTAATAAAAGATATATTATTGTACCCACAAATAATCATCGGAGTTACTATGGATCATGTAATGTCCCGTGTTACTTTTGTACACTCAATGATTCGTTTTTTTTTATTATTATTATTTCACCCAAAGTAAGGCAGTAAAGTCACTAAGACGCAAGAGGTTACTGCATCTGAAAGCATAACGAAAAGAGAAACCTTATTAAGGAGCGAGAACAATAAAAGAAAAGGAATCAAGAAGACAGTAGATAACGATTGACATTGCATTGAAGATCAAAGCTGGCTAGAAGGCATGAAGCCGAAAAAGATGTTCCACAAGCGAGAAGTGCGAAAGAAGAAACGTTTAGTATATAACTTATGACTGCATCTAGCCGATTCAACTGAATTTATGAGATTTGTTGTCAATATAGTACCGCGCTTAAACTCATAAAGTCTACTTAGCATAGCGGAAAGTTCATCTGAGCAATCACTATGAATCATTATAGAAAAGCCACAGGGGAAGCTACATTACAGTAGTGGGAAAGTGACTGAAGCCGAGATGCCAGATCAGGACCAATAATATTGTGGATTCTTCTTTGGATTTTATCAAGAATCTCTAAATGTATATCAGGAGCACCAGACCATCTGTAGCAGCAATATTCAAAGCATGGACGAATGGTAGACTTATACATATGTAAGATATATTCTAGAGAGAAAATTCGTCTAGAACATCATTATGGACCAACTTTCCGAGCAACAGACTTAGCAGTTGATTCAATATAATCTTTCCGCTTCAAATCTTACTTCCGTTTTCTTGTTTGCACATTAGCGGGCCTAATTTTTATGTGCCTATTGATTCTGCTCAATTTTGATTACTGATCATTGTTGTTTTGTGTGCGCAGCCGACAGGTCATGATTTAATATTGATTGCCTGAAAATGTTCTGCACATTCAAGTTAACTAAGATTTTGAGAGCAAAAGTGATTATAAACTGATATAATGGGGTGTATTTCAGACGAAACTATTTGATACCCGTGCCTTGATCTATCCACTACCCTTCTCCTCATCCTTTCTTCTATCACTCTTATCTGATCTTGCTCCAACTCTCTGTAACCCCTTGCGAGTTTTATTCTTGATGAGAAACGAAAAAATTCTTCGTTTTTTTTTTTTTTGTAACCGCTAACATACCCCGAGTTTTATTCTGGATGAGAATAAACAATATATATTCTGGGTGTACGAGTATTTGTATGGCACGCTTATAATTTTTAAATAATTTTCTTGGAGGTACAATTATTTTGTTGCATGAATCATGCCGACCAACAAAATATGCACTCATCTTTATTTGAAGCGGTTCACTTATTTTATTAGAGGAAAATGTCCTCCCGACTAGGTCTATTCCCGGTAACACATGTATTTGGTACAAAATACTACATGGTAAGAACATATATTTTTCCCTTAATATCCTATAGCATACTTCCTGTCGTTTTGTTTAAGTCCCAGATTAGAGCCTACATCTTCTATAAATTCATTCATGGTAATTCAACTGGGGCAGGAATTGGCTGGTCAACTTTAATGCTTCCAAAACAAAACTGCTCTCTATTAATCACTACAGAGATCCTTCCCTACCATCCATTAGAATGTCTGACGCTCAACGTCTCGAGAGCAACTCTCTGCGGCTGCTCGGTCTCACGTTGACTGCTGACCTGAGATGGAACAAATACATTGAGTCAATTGCTTCGTCCACCGCAAGGAAAGTTGGCTCCCTGTGCCGCGCCAGGAAATTTTTCTCCCCGGAATCGATCCTCCAGATCTACAAATCAACAATTCGCCTTTGCATGGAGTATTGCTGCCATATATGGTCTGGTGCCTCTTCTGTTTGCCTCGGGGTTCTTGATAGGCTCCATAGGCGGATATGCAATATAATTGGCCCTTATCTGGCATCTCGTCTACAGTCACTCTCTCACAGACGCGTCGTTGCCTCTCTCTCTGTCTGTTTTACAAATACTTTCATGGCAATTGCTCCGAGGAGCTGCATTCGCTGGTTCTCAGACTTCATGAATTCAAGCGCCCTACGAGGCTGGCATCCCGCTCACACCCCTTCACTGTCGAAACTCCTAAATGTAGCCGTCTCTTCTACTTCAATAGCTTCATGTCTCGCACCTCTCGCCTGTGGAACTCCCTTCCCTATTCCAGTTTCCCTGAGAGCTATAATCTCCAGCTATTTAAGTGTAATGTCAATCGACACCTCCAGTTGCCTTGATCTATCCATTACCCTTCTCCTCATCCTTTCTTCTATCACTCTTATCTGATCTTGCTCCAACTCTCTGTACCCCCTTGCGTCCTAGTGGCTTCCCGCCTTGCTTGGGATGAAACGCTTAAAAAAAAATTCTTCGTTTTTT